GAGAAATTGCTTCCTACCTCTAGGTCACCAGTCTCATCTGTTTTTTTTTTTGTTTGTTTTGTTTTTTAAAGCTTTATAGATTGAGCTTTTATCCTTAGGTTTGTGATCCATCTCTTATTAATTTTTGTGTATGGTTTTGAGCTTGGGGTCTGCATGTGGCTAGCCAGTTGTTTTAGTACCATTTATTGAAAATACTGTTTTTGAACTTTCTGTTCTGTTCCAGTGTTTTGTTTGTCTGTGCTTATTGTCCTGATTACTGTCCTGATTACTACAGTTTGAACAGTAAATCTTGAAATCAAATATTGTTAGTACTCCAGCTTTATATATTTTCAGGATTAATTGGTTATTCTAGGTCATTGGCATTTTCAGGTAAATCAGCTTGTCAATCTAAATTTTTAAAATAGAAAGAGAAGCCTGGTTGGATTATGATTGGGATAGTATTGAAATGATGGGTTATTTAGGGGAGAATTGACATTTTAGCAATACTGAGTTTTCTAGTTATTAGTAGCATATCCTCTATTTAGGTCTTCTTTAATTTCTATTTGTGGTGTTTTGTAACTGTCAGTACAGAGGTCCTGTAAGTCTTTGTTAACCTTACTCCTACATATTAATAGTTTGTGTTATTTTGGTGCTATTATAAGTAGAACTGTTTTTTTTTTTTAAAGTTGCTTTTCATGTATTTGCTGGTAGTATTTAGAAATTCTGTTGGTTTTTTGTGTGTGTCTATGTGTGTGTATTAATTCCTTAGGATTTTCAGCATAAACAATCATGTAGTTTGTGAATAGGGACAATTTTACTTCTCTTCTTTGTTTTCATTTCTTTCTTTATTTTTGCCTGATTACACTGACTAGAACTTCCAGTGCAATGTTGAACAGAAGTGGTGAGAACAAACATCCTTGCCTTGTTCATGATCTTAAGGGGAAAGCATTTAGTCTTTCATCTTTAAGAATATTAGCTATCAGATTGATGAAGTTCCCTTCTGTTCTTTCTTTGAGGAGCATTTTTATCATGAGTAGGTATCAAATACTTATATACTTTTTAAAAAACAGTAAAACTTGTTTTTAGGACTTCACAGGTGTAGTGAATTACAGAATAATTTGGCATTGCTGTTATCTTCGTTATAAAATAGCGTTACATAACTGGCACTCGAACATGTAAATCGATTTACTAGGAGCCACTTCCACCTGGACAGAATTACTGTGATGATTCTATAGAATGTAGAGAAAGAAAATCTAATCATTGCCTTCAATGATAACATTTATTAAGCATTTCCCATGTCTAATGCACTGAGTTAGTAATTTACTATACTCCCAATGCTCCTGCCCTTGAAGTCTAAAAGATTTACTGAAGAATCAGACTGCTCACACCCATTTCCTTTTCTCTATTAGATTCTGTTACTTGTGTGTCCATTTTGTGCATTCTTTAGAAAGATGCTTTAGGAATTTTAGTTATGTCTTATTAACCTAAGGTGTAATTCGCTTTAAATTTTTCTTCCTTTTATGTTAATTTCCTTTATTAGCACATATGCAGTGCAAGTAAATGGGTTATAGTTGTTAAATTAAAAAATGAAAATGTATTTACTGATAGGATACTCCCTGGTATGTTAAATACTAACAGACTAACTTTGAATGGTTCTCACCTTTTTGTTGTTTTTTAAGAATGGTCCCTTTGGGGCAAGGAGGTTTTAGGTCTTCAACCTCATTTGTCCTGGGTTACCACTGGGGTTGAATGGGAAAAGACACAGAGTATTTAAGAGAAGAATGGCTTTGTTATATATGGGACTCAAGAATGGAAAACTCAAAAATCTTGCTCTGAAATTTGGAAATCAGGCAACAAAAAGGAGACCCTCCTGTGAATCACTTGTAGGATCCCTTGAAAATTGGAATGGGCCAGTCCTTGGCCCAACTCCGATATGCATGGCAAGCCTACCAATTCCATGCTGTTCTTCAGACCCCTTCCAATTGGAGGTCTTGCACATAGTTTCTGTGTACTTTTTTTTTTATCCTCTTGCTAGAGAGTTTTTTGGTTATTTCTGCCAAATGTGATAGCTTTCACAGCTTTTTAAATGTACTTGCTTGTTCCTTAGGCTTCCTAGATCACTCATAGCAGCATTTTGTTCATCGCAGCTTACAATCAAGTCTTACTTATTTTTAAAACTATATTGATATTCTGTTGTGATTGTTCCATTGAAAAATAGAATTTTAGAGCTAAATGATACCTTAGAAACCATATCTTCATAGTCCCTCAGTTATATTATAAATCACTTCACTATTAGAGGACCATTAGATTACAGACATTTATTTTAAGATCACAGGGTTAGACTCTTCAAGGTTAATTCTAGTCCAGTACTTTGAGATGAAAATTATAATTCTGTACTTTATTACCTTAGTGATGCCCAGTACTTCCTTCTCCCGTTTACCACACCCAGATTTCGTTTTATCTACTTCACCTGGAATTCTCACATGCCCTCTTGCATAGAATTATTGCTCTGTTTATTACCGAGTGGAATCCATGTTGAATTTCAGCAGGTTTCCCCCCGCCCCACATCTGCCTCTTTGATGGTAGCTGGGTTTACTGCCACTCACTTATTAGTGCCCTGGGTCTTAACAACCTTATTCAAACAAAACATCTTAAATGGAGGCATTAAACAGGTCACAACAGTGAGCCATTTTGTAGCTTTTGGTGCAATAAAATGGGTATGTTGT